TGACACACCAAAAAGTTTCTATTTGGAGCCACAAATATATCTGGACTTGTTTCAGAAGTTCTTGTATGGACTGGAAATATGATGTATCTTCCAGTTATGTTCTAAGAGTGCAAATAGAATTGCCTTGTCAGGGACAATGTGCCATCAACATTTACAGGATCTCCAAAGAGTTAAAGCATAACTAATCCATGTTCAATGATCCTGAACATACCCGAGGTCATAAGTGGTGTCAGACAGGCTCAGAAGACCGAAGTCCAACTAGTTCAACATTCCTTATGAGACTCCCAGCAGCCAACAAGACAGTTCTCCAGAAATTGGACAGCGATGCCCCAGTGGATGCAATCTACCCTTTAGCCAACAAGCATCTTGCTACAGCTGTACCACAAAGGGGGGAAGTCAGTAACAGTGGAGATCTTTCCTCTATAGATCGTTAACCAACCTTTCCATCAGCAAACAATCTCCCAAGGAACCTTATTGATTTGATTCAATGAAGATATCTGAAGCAGTGGGCATACGCGTGATTACAGGGCTCTTTTTGTAGAAAAAGCCCAGCAGGAACTCATTAGCATAATAGGTCAAACCCAACAACAGAAACTCATTAGCATATTAGGCCACACCCCTGACAGCACAGCTCATTAGCATATTAGGCCACAACCCCATGTTACCGGAAGTGTGGTCATCCAGCCACACCCACCTTTTTCTTGTTATTCTGTTTACCTTGTTTGTTGTCCAAACGCAGGGCCTTTTTTGTAGCAGGAACTCCTTTGCATGTTAGGCCACACACCCCTAATGTAGCCAATCCTAATGAGTGTCTGCTGTTGGGTGTGGCCTATTATGCTAATGAGTTCCTGCCAGGCGCGGCCAACTTGGGGGCCAGCCGGAACTCCGTTCCTGTGCGTTCCTGCCCAAAAATAGCCCTGCGCGTGAAAGCTCCGGCCTTGAACAAAACTTGGTTGGTCTGAAAAGTGCCACTAAACTCAAACTTCTTCCAGGCTACAGAGTTCCCCTAGAGAAAACGGCTGCTTTGGAAGGTGGACTCTATGGCATGATGACCCATTGAAGAAGAAGAAGAAGAAGAAGAAGAAGAAGAACAAGAACAAGAACAAGAAGAACAACAACAAGAAGAAGAACAAGAAGAAGAAGAGGAGGAGGAGGAGGAGGAGATTGGATTTATACCCCACCCTTCACTCGGAGTTTCAGAGCGGCTTACAAATTCATAAGAACATAAGAACATAAGAGATGCCAATGTTGGATCAGGCCAAAGGCCCATCCAGTCCAACACTCTGTATCACACAGTGGCCCCCCCTCGCCGGTCTCTCTCCCTCCCCCCCCGACTCTCTCTCTCTCTTTCTTTTTTTCCCCGTGAACCGAGGCCCACGCGGCTTACATCCACCGGGCCCTCGGCAGTTTCTCTTCCCCTCCCCGACTGTCTTCCCCCTCCTCACCTATCTCTCGCCGCCGCCGCCGCTGCTGGGCCTCTCCGGCCGTTTGTTCCCTTTCCTGCGCAGGGAACCCAGGTAGGACGCATGCGCACGGAACGCTCTTGCACTTTCAGGGGGATTTAAACATCCCCCCGAATTTTTTTTCAACTGCCCCACGTGTGCACACACCTCTCCCTGCCCCCCAGCTGCCCCCGGAGCGCGGATTTAGATATCCGCACTCACGGGTGCAACTTCGCTATTAGTATAAGGATATGGAGCAGAGGTCCATCAGTGGCTATTAGCCACAAGGTATAGATAGGGACTCTGGGGCAAGTGATGCTCTGTCTTCTTGGTGCTTGGGGGGGGGGTTAACAGTGGGAGGGCTTCTAATGTCCTGGCCCCACTGCTGGACCTCCTGATGGCACTGGTATTTCTGGCCACTGTGTGATACAGAGTGTTGGACTGGATGGGCCTTTGGCTTGATCCAACATTGGCATCTCTTATGTTCTTATGTTCTTATGTACCCAAAGGAGTCTCAGAGTAGCTTACAATCCCCTTCCCCTCCCCTCAACAGACACCCTGTGAGGCAGGCGGGGCTGAGAGAGCTCTGACAGAAACTGTTCTTTTTCAAGGACAGCTCTGACAGAACTATGGCTTGCCCAAGGTCATCCAGCAGGTGCAAGTGGAGGCATGGGGAAACAAACCCCGTTCTCCCAGATTAGAGTCCGCGCACTTAACCACGACACCAAACTGGCTCACAGTAAACGGCCCCTGCTGCTGCTTTAATACAGTATGTGGCGGGGATTGGCCAGGATTACAACTGGTCCAGGCGACAGAGATCAGTTCCCCCGGAGAAAATGGATGCTTTGGAGGGTGGACTCTGTAGCATTGCATCAACACTGGGGCCCTCCCCAGAGTCCATCCCCAAATAGCGCAACCTGGAGTTGGCAACCTGGGAGGGGGTCAACGCCTGCCTATATCAATCAGCCCCACTTTCACCATCAGCTTAAGAGACAGCCCATCACATTTTGCCGTTCTTTTGCCACTTCTCTGGCTCCTTTCCAAAAATTCCGTACGTTTTTGGCCAGAACAGGGACTTCCAAATGCACTTTCTCTCCAGACAAACTAGGTACAGCTGCCTGAAATATTTCACAGGATCCAGCTGTGCCGCTTTGCCAGGGACCGCTTCAGTTTTTCGGCCTTCTGTCCTTCTGTCCTTCCTAAATCATTGTCCCCGGTATTGCCAACTTCCAGGTGGACCCTGGAGATCAGAGATCAGTTCCACAGAGAAGGCGGGAGGAGGAAAGGTGGGGGGGGATAAAGAGGGGAGGGAACGGCACTTATGACTGCTCCATGCAAGGGTTGCCAACCTCCAGGTGGCACCTGGAGAGATCTCTCTGTCTCTATCTCTGTGTTTCTCTCTGTCTCTGTCTGTCTCTGTCTCTCTGTCCCTCTCTCTCTGTCTCTGTCTGTCTGTCTCTGTCCCTCTCTCTCTGTCTGTCTCTATCTCTCTGTGTCTCTCTCTGTGTCTCTCTCTGTTTCTCTCTGTCTCTGTCTGTCTCTCTGTCCCTCTCTCTCTCTGTCTCTGTCTGTCTGTCTCTGTCTCTCTGTCCCTCTCTCTCTGTCTCTCTGTCTCTCTGTGTCTCTGTCTGTCTCTGTCAGTCTCTGTCTCTCTCTGTCTCTCTCTGTTTCTCTCTGTCTCTGTCTGTCTCTCTGTCCCTCTCTCTCTGTCTCTCTGTCTCTCTGTGTCTCTGTCTGTCTCTGTCAGTCTCTGTCTCTCTCTGTCTCTCTCTGTTTCTCTCTGTCTCTGTCTGTCTCTCTGTCCCTCTCTCTCTGTCTCTGTCTCTCTGTCTGTCTATCTCTGTCCCGTCTCTCTCTGTGTCTCTCTCTCTCTCTCTGTCTCTGTCTGTCCCTCTCTCTGTCTGTCTGTCTCTCTCTCTCTCTGTCTCTCTGGCATTATACCCTGCTGCGGTTCCTCCCTACCCTCCAAACCCTGCTTTCCCCAGGGTCCACTTCCACATCCCCAGCAATTTCCCAACCCAGAGTTGGGAACCCTATGGTAATTTCCCCTCTAAATGAGAAGTGGGATAAACTTGTGGGACCACGGTTCCCAGGGCTAGAATCCTTGACGTGCCATGACGCATTACAAGAAGAGGTGCAGTCAAAAGCAATGCTATAGTATATTAGCACATTTTTGAGCTGTCAATTTCTGCAGTGCTCTTCTTTCCTTTGTTCCATTCCTGGTAATTGTAAATGCATGGGTCTACCTATAGAATGTACGAAATATGTTTGTTGCGTGCTTGCGAAGGTTAAAAAAAAATTTGAGTAGAGAAGAAGAATAAGAAGAAGCGGGCAGATTTTTCTACCCGAGGGCCACATCGGGGTCTCTGCCTGCTTTTGAGGGGTCCTTGTTAGATGCTGTCTGTTCCTGTTTCTGGCCCTTGCAAGGTGCTGCTGCTGGAAACAGAGGGAGAGAGAGCCGGCGGCTAACTTGGCACTTTCAAGAGCAGGCAAGGAGAGACCCGGGCTCTTCCACCCCCCCCCCTATAGGGGGGGTGGTGGCTCTTCCCAGTCTGGTGTAGTGTGCAGACTCTAATCGGGGAGAACCGGGTTTGATTCCCCACTCCTCCACTCGTGGCTGCCAGATGACCTTGGATCAGTCACAAGTTCTTTTGGAGCTGTTCTCTCTAGGGCAGTCCTCAAGCGAGCTCTCTCAGCCCCGCCTACCTTTATGGTGGGGAGGGGAAGGGAAAGGAGTTTGTAAGCCACCCTGAGACTCCCTTGGGTAGTGAATCCAATCTCCTCCTCCTCCTCTTCTTCTTCTTCGTCTTCTTCTTCCTCCCAAACAGATGTTGTGCTCTGCACTGGCTTCTTGGCAGCAGAACTATTTTGGGAAGCATCTGCACAATGCTGTCCTCTAGCCATCCTGCATCTCTGTCCCCCCAACGTAGGCTTGCCAACCTCCAGGGGGCACCTGGAGTTCTCCTACTATTACGATGGATCTCCAGACAATCAAGATAGTCCCCCGTTGCTTTGGGGGTCCAGACTCTATGGCATTATACCTCCCCACCCTAAACCCCGCCCTCCCCAGGACAGGTTTCCCTTGCTCAGAAGCCAGTCGAATCCGACTCGAGGGATGCGCTGCTCCTCTCCGTTTCCAAGCCGAAGAGCCAGCGCTGTCCGAAGGCGTTTACGTGGCCACATGGCCGGCATGACTAGACGCCGAGGTGCACGGAACGCTGTCACCTACCCACTGGAGCGGTCCCTATTCATCTACTTGAAGTTTCTTGCTTTCGAACTGCTAGGTTGGCAGGAGCTGGGGCCAGAGACGGGAGCTCACTCCGTCAAGCGGCACACTCAGGTCTCAAACTGCTGAACTACCGACCTTCCAGTCTGCAGTTCAGCGTCTTAAACACTTGACCCTCCCCAGAATATACCCCTCCAAAACCCCAGGAATTTCCCAACCCAGAACTGGCAACCCTGCCCCGACTTCACAGTGATCTTTTCCCCCTGTCTTCATTGCTCCCCGCATCCCTTTTGCACTTGCCGAGAGGCTCAGAGAGGCGCAGCGGGACTCACCCTGACGTAATCATATTCGCAAAGGTATGACGATTCCAGGTCGAAGTGCATGAAGTAGAGCTTGATCCGGAAGCCCTCTGGCACGGAGATGTTCCACGTCACTTCGGAATCGCTGGGGTAGGAGTCGGGGAAGCTGGGCGACTGCATCTCTCCAAACATGTCGGTCAGCTCGACAGCCTCCCCCTTGACGAGGTGCAAGATGCTCAGGGACCAGATCAGGAAGCGCCTGTGGAATGCACACACACGCACAGAGATCAGCTGATGTCTCTCCAGAGGCGCATGTACCAAAACAACAGGGCGTATCTTGAATAGCATAAGCCGCCTTAATTTCCTCAAGGGAGAAAGGCGGCTAGTAACATAAAATAAATGAAATCTGGCATATCGTTATTGTTATTGGTCATTCATAGAAAAAGAGGTGCAGGAGCTCATTAGCGTAGCTCAGTAGTGTAACTTATTTGCATATGCCACACCCCCTAAGAACATAAGAACATAAGAGATGCCAATGTTGGATCAGGCCAAAGGCCCATCCAGCCCAACACTCTGTGTCACACAGTGGCCAGAAATACCAGGTGCCATCAGGAGGTCCACCAGTGGGGCCAGGACATTAGAAGCCCTCCCACTGTTGACCCCCCCAAGCACCAAGAAGACAGAGCATCACTTGCCCCAGAGTCTATCTATCTATACCTTGTGGCTAATAGCCACTGATGGACCTCTGCTCCATATGCTTATCTAATTCCCTTTTGAAGCCGTCCATGCTTGTAGCCGCCACCACTTCCAGTGGCAGTGAATTCCAAGTGTTAATCACTCTTTGGGTGAAGAACTACTTCCTTTTATCCATTCTAACCCGACCGCTCAGCAATTTCATGGAGTGCCCACGAGTTCTTGTATTGTGAGAAAGGGAGAAAAGTACCCCTTTCTCTACCTGCTCTTTCCCATGCATAATCTTATAAACCTCAATCATGTCACCCCTCAGTCGTCGTTTCTCCTGACAAAGGGCAGGCCTGCAAGCGAGGCACCTGGAGAAGATTGGGCAGGGAACCCAGGCATGTTTAAAATCTGGGGGAAGGGAAAGAAAGGCATTTAAATCCCCCCCCTTCCCCAAACTTCTCTGCAAAAGCGGAGAGGCTCAGGGAGAGGGGGGGGCATGTCTGCCTGCATGCCTTGCCCTTCCCTTCCCTGGTCAACCCGCCACGGCAAGCTGGCTGGGGAAGCAAAGGGCAGGCACGCAAGCTTGCCTGGGTTCCCTACTCCTGGGCTTGTTACTCCCGGAACGCCGTTCCTGCTCGCTCCCCCTCGAAATGACCTCTGATTATTATGAATTGCCACACTCAGATATTTGATGGGTAGACGGGTGCTCTGCAGTTCGAGACCTAGCTAAGTTCTCGGGGACTGCAGATGTATCTTCACAGGATTCTTGCTGATCCAAGCAACACCGTCTTCTGGAGCTATTTTCAGGTTGGGTAGCTGTGTTGGTCTGCAGCAACGGAACAGGGTTTGAGTGCAACGGCTCCTTTAAGGCCAGCAATCTTTTTAATAAGGTGTAAGCTTTCGTGTGCAAGCACACTTTTGTCTGAGGGAGTGTGCTTGCGCATGAGAGCTTACTCCCTAAATAATGGTTTTTGGGTTTTAAAGATGCCATTGGACTCAAACTTTGTTCTTCTGGAGCTATTATTATTATTATTATTATTATTATTATTATTATTATTATTATTATTATTATTATTATTATTATTATTATTATTATTATTATTATTATTATTATTATTATTATTATTATTATTATTATTATTATTA